CCCCTTCTTCGTTCGCTCGTCACAGGCTCCACAACATGGAAGCGATCCAACTTCACCATATTATTACGGCCAGACAACCCTAAAAGCCCCACGAGCTGCCTATGCACCACAAACCCGCAAGACATGCACGCAGCCAAAACGATGACCCTTAAACTGATATAGCAGGTTTAACGAGTCGTCCATAGATCCAGCCCGTGGAAGTCCCCCAAGCAACGTGTCAGGCCATGAGCTTCCCTCCGACATAAAACTCCCCTCCAACCGCGGCTTGGGAGCTCGAGGAGCATGAAGCCCAAGATCCCGGCTGTTGAAGCGGCCGCTAAGCACAAGAGCCCGGCACTCACCTTGCATCTCAAACAAAAAGTGCCAGCTTTGAGGGCTGTGATTTTTTTTGTCGGTTGCTTTTTGCTCTTTGCTTTTGCTTTGCTTCTTCGTTTTTTGTCGTTGCTGCTGCTCTTGCTGAGCGGGCTCTGCTTCAAGTGCAAAGTACTACGTTAAGGGTTAGAATCTATAGGGATGCAAAAAATTCCCCAAGCTGCCACTGTCAGTCCATCGCTAGGCCGCCACAACCCGAAAATCTATGGAACAAGGCGGCTCAGAAAACTCACATTCCTCGTTCAAGGGGTACTGCAAGCGGAAGAAAGCCAAAAGAACGTCCAGTCACTGCAACATTGGCACCCGACACGTACTGCGCAGTGTACCTCGGCAAACGGGAGGCCCCGTTTGGGAATGCTAAGGCACTCCGACCAAATAGACCCTAGCTGAACCGAACCACAAAAGCTGTGGCAAAGCGCTAAACTCCGCTAAACCCAAGATTTCAAGCCAAAAGGGTGCGGGGATCAGGGTCTACAAGTTTACTCGCACCCCTCACGACTTGGAAAGTCACATAATGGCGACCATCAGGATCACCAGCGCCAAGCAAAGCTTCAGTGCCTTCTTGACACGGACATGCTCGGGGCCATCCCGAAGATCAAGGTTTCCAGTGGCCTCCAATGGTGCCAACGTCATAAAGAAGCTTTTGGAAACAAGGTCTCGGGCCCTCTTTGAAGTCTGTGATGTCCCCCTGCCCCGCCCGGGCTACAGCGTGCTACACGGGTACTACAGCAGCCCATGTTGAAAGCTAAAGTCCGAACTCCCGAACTCAAACGTGCCGTGAGCTTCGCATTCTCTAAGTTCCCCCTGCGTGAAGCTATCAGCTATCAATGCGCAACATTGCGCGCTCGTTCTGGCAGATGGCCTGGGCAAAAACCCAACTGAAAGCGGCCAAGATGAGATTGCATATGCCCACTGCGCACGGGGCAGACCACTGCAAAAACCACACCGTCCTCAGTGCAGATGCAACTCTTGTTGTATGGACCTCATAAAGGAACACTGTGCCAACCTCCCGCGCGATAGGAGTGTGGCGCAGACGGTATGTCGAAGGCATTTACAGAGCCCGCTGTTTAAGGGCTTGGGCTTGCAGGAGTGACACCATTGCTTTGGCGAGTTAACGGTTCGCTTATTCCTAAGCCCCATACAAAGCCCCAACATGAATGATCAATTTCTTGCAGAGCATCTCTGAGTTCTCACAGGCTGTCTGGATGGTCGCCTGATCGTCGGTGGAGAAGGTGCTCAGGAGAGTGGCGTTCTTGGTCATGGAGCTGCAGTAGGTCGGATAGTCCAAAGTAAAATTCGCAAAGAGGTACGCATAAACTTGCGAGTTCCTCAGTGTCAACAGGAAATGTCAAAAGGGAAACCGAGAATTCACACGCCTCTCTGCCTTCACGCCAATATGCAGGAAATCTCATAAGATCCCTATGCGCATCTTCCTGTGGGCATGGCCACTGTTACACTGTGGCACTACGTGAACCTTCTCCAGACTCCAGGACAACCCCTCAACCCCGAGAACTGCTTGCAACAGGCCTGCGAACCATCTACAAATCTACACCTGGACCCCGAACCCTGTCTGGCCCTGAGCCAGAAAACCCAACCCGAACCCTGCACCCTAAGGCTGGCGATGGAGGTCATGCAGTGCAAGCGACTGGCTTGCCAGCCACACTCGCGTGTCCTCCTGCCACATCTTGTCGGCCAGGGCCAACCAGCCGATCCATGCCCCAAAGACGATCAGCGAAGCTAAAATGAAGGTCATGGACAAACCTTGCTTAGGGCTCTGGACGGTTTGGGATGCCAGTGTTGAATTTTAATTGGGGTGTGAGGCGGTCCATGAACAAGGCAAAACGGATGCTACTGAGACCCGGCTGCTGTTGAAGAAATCTCGCCCGCTCACTTGCCCAGGCTTGAAGCACCGACGCCGGACGAGTACTATCCTTGCAGCTGGTACCATCAGGGACACGTGCGGACTGGAAGCCCGATACCCTAATGCCCCGAAACAAGGAACACCTAGATAAACCAAAGACCTTGGAGTTGAGGGCCTGAGCCATTCTGCATGTTGCAGGACGTGCTGCACCGACAGATGGGTGAACATGCTTGCCCCACAGGACCATGCCAGCCTAAAGTTTCCGATTTCAGAGGCGGAGTTCTTAAACATCCATCCTTATTCGAACAGTTGAGCGAAGCTACCAGAAACAACGCGCGTTAACAGGAGGAGGTGATAATCCCATGGCAGAGCCAAGCTCTACTAAGTCAATGAAGCATCTGGTATTCCGAGAGCCCCGGCAAGCCAGTGGCTTTCCCAGGAGGTGCTGGGTTTGGGGAGTGGCGATCTCCAAAGCTTGATCCAAGAGTCAGCACGATGCTAAAAGCGAGGCAGGTCAGCCCACTCAGCCACGGAAAGGCGATGTACTTCCTTTGAGAGCAGCGCGTGGAAATAATTCCCTCCACAGCTGGCTTGGGCAAGGATGCGTGAAGCTCTCTAGGAAACGGGAGGCGTGCAAGAGTTGTAAACTACGGCCCAGAAAGCTTGCAGTAGATCTGGTTGCTTCCAGCACACAAGAGAATACGCAGTTATGCCTAAACTAAATCGAGCTCCGGCATGTCCAATCCCCCTTCGCTGCGCCAAGACCCCACAGCTACCTAAGCTTTATTGCCTGCACTACTCTGTTCAAAACTGCGGCCAAAGCAACATCGACGCCGCCCCTAGGAAGGCGCAGGCTATGATCGGGCCCACGACAATTTGCACCTTCGAAAAAAGGATCAGCGTGCAGGGCTTAGGGCTTGGGGCGCGCAAGCTCCACTTGCAGAATCCTACTGTGGAGGCTTTCGATTGGTAGTCCAAAGTCTAGAGTTTATGTCAAGGGAGGTGTGTCGGGTCGGCTGGCGAGCTTGCATCCTCGCCCTGCTCCTGATAGGCTCGGCTGAAAGATCTTGGAGCTTGTAATAAACTAGACAGCAACAAGCCATACTCCTTGCTCTCATGGATGTGAACAAATTGCACAGACGACTTCCTCTTATACATCAACAGCGAGTTGTGATATGATCGAGTCAAACCTAAAACCTAAGCCTGGTGCCAGCGCACGCGTGCACAGCATGACAGACATGTTGTAGACACATGAGTAAACAGTTTTTATACACCGGCCTTGCCTACTGTACCGTGCACGCGCGAACCCACTCTAGTTTCGAGAGCTTCCCCTTGCATCACTCCAGGAGCTGGGCTGTGCTTCAAATAAAAATGGCTTGGGATGCTTGGGATGCGGGGGCTGCGACATTTTCAGCGATCCGGACTACCGAATTACATAAGCAGCTTGGTCCCAGTCGCACAAACCGGCCGTGTGAAGAGGTCAATCACGAACGCGAAGATCAAAAGCAGGACACATAGCCCGGAAATGATGTTCCCAAGCATGTCGATCTGGCTGCTGGCCTTCAGGCTCAAGGTTAAAGACACATGGATTCGGAGGTCGCCGAGGTATTGATTCACTCTGTCTGTGGGGCTGTGGTTTAGGCTCGTTCTGGCGTCAACCCGCAACCTTACAGCCCCAAAGTCCTTAAAAGCAACCCGCACCCCACCCCCTCCCCCCAAACAAATGAAGGCACAACGCTGTTATACGGCTCGACCCTTGCTCACATTGCTCACTTTGAAGCTTGGATTGAAGCTTGGATGTTCTGTATGGCGAAACCTTTTAAGTTAAAACAGGGTTTTGAAAACCCGAATATTAGTAGTTTTAGGGGGTTTGGACCGGTTGAAGTGGCCCTTAATAAGTTTGACATTTTTGGTGCTTTTTTGTATTTCGTGGCGCGTGTATATTACGTTGCGGTGGTGACAATGCCCTGACCCTAAATGCAAGAGCTGAATGTACAAAGAGAAGCCCCCCCAAACCTTGCCAGAAACACGGCCCAGTGGCCGCAATCTCGGCAACTTTCACACCCGCGCCCATGCTCGAAAAGCCTGCCACAATGATCGCCTCCGGCAGCCTGGTAAGACGGTGACTGGGGTGCTATTGTAGAAGGCCCTTGGGCTTGACTCTGCTGAACTCAAAACCACGAAGTTTTAACGCTTTACTGCACCCGGCTGTCCCGGGAGCCGCTTTAACTATCTTCAAGGCATAGGCATACAGTGTATACCTTCACTTCACAAGTCTGGTGGAGGATACAATTACCACTCAGCTGGCAAGACCCATGAACACTGCGCAGCCGGACATTCACAAGCAAGGTGCAGGATTGCGACCAGTGTCGCCAGGACCACCGTCCACAACGGAGTTTGACCATCATCGATGGTGGACATGGCAGGCCTGGGCCCCTAGGCCCGTGAAACCCGAGCTCTGCAACGCACCGAGCAGAGCGGGAATTAGGGCAATTCGGGTTCAATAGTCTTGGTGCGCCTCCTGTTCTGGCTCCGGCCCCTACGCCGCTTAAAGGTCTTACATGGTCTGTCCTCTCGATGTCTCGGCTTGAAGCACAATGGCGGCTGAATTCTGCTGTCAATAACATGGCCTTTCAGAACTTCTGAGCCTGAACAGCAACAGGCACATGTGTGCGTGCGCGTTCTAAACAATCAGTGTCATTGTCACCACGCAAGGAGAAAACAAACACAAGAAGCCCACTGTGCTCCCCAGTTCCAAACCACAGGCCTGGTAGTAATCCTCAAGCTTCCCCTTCTCGATTGCTTCTGCCACCTCCTGTGTCCAATAAATGTTGTCGACCTGCAGAGTCGAGGGAAGAGGAGGGAAGAGGAGTCGAGGGCTGAACATTGAGGGTTTATGGCAAGTTTACGGCTTTTCGTGTCGTTTTGGGTTTGGAGCGCTGTTATGTTTTCAGGGAACACCATCGGATCCTGAGACAAGTCTGCTGCGTGAACTGCGATCGGCTGTGGCCCGCGCAGCGATGACAACCTGCCCGGGCCAGGAAAGGACCTTCGAGAACTGCAAGCGATTGGAGGCAAGGCTCAAGGACATGAGCTTCCTGAACCCAACAACTTCAAGAACCAGTCCTCGATTTCACTCTGCATGGGAAGGTAGAGAGCATCAGGACTGCTTGAGCCCCAACTCCCAGACAAGCAGTCCATTATGAAGTGCCTCTCACCCGATGCCATCCTAAACCTGGTGTGGGCCCACTACACCGGAAATTTGCAGCCCTGAAAACAAAGCAGTGCATCCCTCAGCGACGCCCTGAGGCTGCTGCCCACTTGCCTCGCTGCGTCTCTGCGTAGGCGCGCACGGAATCCCCCATAATCTGTGGTCGCCGCAGGGGGTGTCAAGGTTGAGTTCTTCTTCTCCCTCACAAGGCTACGTTTCTGGTTGAGGGTGTAGCGTCCATAGGGTGTCTTAACATGAGGTTTAGTTATGGACTGCTACAAAAAGGAGGCGTTTGTTGTTTGCTTGGTCCAAGAAGTAGCCTCAGACAGACCTGCTTCGTCGGACCATGGAGTTACCGGGGTGTGTGTGTGTGTGTGTGTGTGCAGACACAGACACAGACAGAGACAGACAGACACACACACACACACACACACACACAGACAGAGAGAGAGAGAGAGAGACGCACACACACACAGACACACACACACACACACACACATAGATATATATATATATATACATATATACATATGTACATATATACATATATACATATATACATATATACATATATACATATATACATATATACATATATACATATATACATATATTCATATATTCATATATACATATATACATATATACATATATACATACATATATATATATACACATACGTACGTAGTGCTAACCTTGTCCTTTCAAGGAACAGGATATGTGTGCATATGTGTATGTAAGTATATATATATATATATGTGTGTGGGTGCGTATGTGTTTCTGTTCTTCTATTCGTATTTTGCAAGAATTTATACTGACATTCATTTCCCCCCCGAGAATCCTCGACCCTGATCCTGTTCGAAGAACATGCCCTTCGCAGCCTTGGTCAGAGTCCGGATCATGGAGTCCTGTCGCCCGTTTAGGGGGTTTTTTTTGGCACCCGACTAGCCACGGCAATGCGGGGTTTGTAGGGGGTTTAGGGTTTAGGGTTTTAGGGTTACCCCGTTGTTTAGGTTTCCTGAGAGAGGAAAGGGTGCCAACGGAAAACCTCCGTTCTTATCTGGGATTCAACTTTCGAGGTTGTTCGGAGTTCAGCCGCGACTGTCGTGTCATGGTTGAGGCTTCTTTGCAGCAAATGCGGGGATCTGAGCTGTCCATCTCTGTCAAAATTTGCCTTCTCTACAGCCTCCTGCACAAACTGTCGGCGCGCATCGAGAGTATATAATATATGGCACTTAAGTCTGGCCAATGGCATGCACATGCCAAATACCTGTCAACCCTATAGCCTACAGCAAAAGTATACCTTTTGACATTTGATGAGCAGTTGAGCCAACTCAACACAAGGCCCGCTGTCATGGTTTCAGGATTTGGGGGGGGCCTGGTCAAGGTCTAAATCTGAAAAGGCAAAAAACAAAAACACCGCCAAGCAAAAGCAAACCCCAATTTCCGAATCTGGAAGCTCAGATGATGGGTCCTGCACTTCCAGCAGCCAGCGCTCTACGTTGCCCTTCTTCTCGCCCTCGTTGACGTTCACCTTCGCAGACCCAGCAACCAGTAAACCTGATGTGCTTCTAGACTCAACCTTCCGTTCGGTTGGCTTGCCACCTGCTCTCTTCAGACTCGTGCGCTTTGCAGAATGCGGGAGGCATCTCTGCAGGACTTCCCGCGATAATCCGCTTAAGCTTCATGTGCCCTCACCCTACAAGCGCACACCAGGTCTGGCTGCTCCTCAACAGCTCATCTATACACCATCTACAGTATACTTATCACCTATCGACTGTGATATGATCATGACCCCCTTCCCCATCCTCCTGTGATGGCACTGAAGCCGTTTAGCCCCACAGGGTGTGGATTCAGGGTGGGAGGGGCTCTGAGTAATGAGGGCACAAGCCCGGAACTGTGAAAGTCAAAGCCCTCTGCAGGTCTAGAAGCCTTGCTGATGAGCTCCACAACTTCGCCCTCGACGGAGAGCATGGCTTCGATGATCTCATCATTGGCGTCGAAGCGCACCTTGTTGATACCTGCTGCTAGGGGCAGGAATAGGAAGCAGAAGACAGGAGAGAGGGACAGAAGAGAGGCAGAAGAGAGGGAGACAAAAAGGCTTCGAGCCCGCGATCCCCATAGATGAGAACAAATGCCCCAGGTTGGAGAGGGTTCTTTCTCGACTCTTCGTGCGGGGGCGGGATTGTTTTCCAGAGGCCCTCTCCTCAACTTCAGCGCTTCAGGGTCTATGCTTTGGTGCACTCGACGCGCCTTCGAAGCACTTGCCCATGTGTGGCTGCACCGCTGTTGGGTCCTGCAAAGAGAGCGAGAGTCAAATAGGTTGTAGGACCAGGAATCAGGAATCCTCACTGAAGAGCGCTTCATAGGGAAATGGAATTTGCCCTGTGGCATGTGCTGCTCCTTCGTCTGGGACAGAATCATGAGCAGCTCGTCGTTCGACCTGATGAGAAGCTCTTTCTGGGTCTTTTACGGCCCGCCTCGGACAGCTTCGTGAGGCTGCGCAAGCGGCGCAAGCAATCCAAATCAGAAGCCCAAGTTTGGAGGCAGAGGAAAGCCATCCTCTACAGGTCAAGCGATGTACGGACTTGTAAGACCAGGCTGTATCAACATCCCAAAGACACCGCAAGGCATCCCAGTAGGGTCTGCAAGGCCTGCATCGTCGAAGCACAGTGCCGGATAACAGTTGAATAGATCGGAAGATCAGCACTCAGAGGATCCTCGCAACCAAACAACATGAAACAAGGAACACCATCCACCCCACAACGCAAGCCAGTTGCAGCCACACAACGGTTTAGTGGCGAAGGTTCTAGTGTCTCAGGAGAACTCCAACCCCATCCATCCTTGATTAGCTGCCAGGGCATCTGCCACTCAACATGCGCAGCCCTACTCCTGAACCCGCCGAGGCAAGCGCAAGAAGAAGAACCGCGGAAATGCCAAGCGCTTGGTCTCCAAGTAGTCGTTCAAACACTTCTGGATCTGGTCAAGCCTGGCTTACATCTTACTGTTGGTTAGTAGGGAATGAGGGAATGAGGTACCCTATATAATCCCTTCAAGGGTAGATATAGGGGGATATAGGAAATTCCCGCATTCCCTACTAACCAACAGTACGTCAGTAGGGCTGAGGATCACCAGAGCAGCTGCACCAAGAAAGCACCGACGGATTGAGGTCACAGGAAGAGCTCAAGTTCCACAAAAGGAACTTCATGAACTCTCATGAATGCGAAATCGGACATTGCTATTTTGTCTTGCACTGGAACTTAGTGCCAGCCTGCTGGATCGTGCAACAGGTTCGTACTGTAAGCAGCAGCCTCTCGCCGAAAGAGGCCCAACCCTTTTTGCCAAAAAAAACCCTGACCCCTCCTAGTTCGGTGCACGCAGCATCCTCGGCGAGAGGCGTGTGATCAGGTCGAATTCAAGTTTTCACGCTGGACATTGCCAAACGATGGCTGCCTTGCAGCCGACAGGGCCGTGAATCCGGCTAACTGGCTGGAGCCGAACAAACAAAGCAAGAGACTCCGAGTAACCCGTTACGCTCGTTTTAGGCTTCTGGCTAGAAGTTAAGGCCAAGGCTTGCGTGTAGCTTCGCGTGAATATACCTCCCAACAGCCATTTCAGCCTTTTTCTGGCCCGATCCTACCTCCTCACGGCACGATGGTAGGGGCATTCAAGAACCTCGCGGCATCGCCGGTGATCCAATCGCCGATGTCCTGATTAATCCCGCCGTTTTGGGCCTTCAAGTCACAACGCTTCGCCATGAACTTGAAATTCCAGTGGTAGCACTTCTCATCCAAGTCACAAGCCTGTGCGCAAGTGACAGGGTCAGAGACATCCGGAATGTCGTTCCTGTAGTCACCATAGAGCCAAGCTCCCCTCGTTGCTGGGATGCCCGCCTTTGCCAGTGCCTCCAAGTACTCGTTGCGAGTGAAAGCCACGAGAGCAGAACCGGTCAGCTCTTCAGGCGGGTCGATGACTGGGGCCACGGGTGCAGCCGGCGTGTCTTGAGGGGGCACGGGTGCTGCCGGCGTCTCTGCGGGGGGCAGGGGTGCTGCCGGTGTCTCTGCGGGGGGTGCAGGCGCATCGGGAGCTTCCTGGCCGGCAACAACGGTCAGTGCAAGCAACGTGAGAAACACACGGGCCATGGCGTACGGGACAGGCTACAAAGATGGCAGTTGGAGGACTTTGAGCTCGAAGGAGGCTCCATTGGCTTCTGAGTGAAGTGGTCGTATCGGCTGGCTCCTGTCATGTATATATAGTATATGGGTGGCACATGCCGCAAGGACTGCCCTCTCCCACACTCCCCACCCTTTCCCCTCGGAAGCTGACTTCTTGTTGGCATCTGTGAAGTGGATCAACAGGTTCTCAATCTCTGTGACATCCAGGACCTGGAAGGGCAACAAGCACAAGCTGAAGGGGCGACGACTTCCCAGGCCCATAGCACGACAAAGCTTAAGGCATTGGCCGTGGGATTCTCATCCACGGCGGCCATGGTGTCTCGCCACAGCCTCGTGAAAAGGGCAGACAAAAGAGGCCTCTACCCTCACATTCGAAGACATTCGCAGCCCAGCTTACGTGGTTGGTTGGAAGGCTATGCGGAACCTAAGCCATGCGCTTTGCGAAGCCGTGCAAGACCAGCTAATAATCAACGCACATGGAGGGTGCTCTGAACGGGAACTCCCTTTTTTAACAAGAGACCCGAAGTGAGAACCACCCGACCAGATTAGGGTCGAAGGAGTTCGAAGCTAACGCGGGCTCTGGGAGAAGCCTGGGGGGGGGTCTCTCACAAAGCCGACAAACAGCGCATGGCGGCCTAAATGCTTTAGTATCGAGTGCGAAGGCAACAGGAACAACACGAAAGCCTTATCCTTGATATGTTTCTTGAATTTGGCTTACAGGGTTGAACGGTTGCCAGGCTCATCAACCGCGCCCTTCACCGCAAACCGAGGCTGCCGCTTGTCCACCGCTTGGAACTTCGTGGCTTCACCTGGCATCTGCCTGACCTCGGCGCCAAGATGGCGTGATACGTCGCGCAAAATGCCACAAAGCCCGATGTTGGGCGTGAATTGAAGCCCTAGCCCTCCTAGGCCCCCCCTAAACCTGAACCTCATCAAGCACCCAAGTTGGGAGTGGGATCATTGAACTGCTCAAGAGATCAAGCTTTGAGCTGGGTGTTGAAGACTTGCGGCATTTTGCGGCTTAGGCGGGTGGATTGGGGTTCAAGTCTACAGACTTCACGCCGAGTCTAAGAGTGGCCTGAGACGCAGGCAATACAAATTGGATCTGCCGAGGAGGCTTTGGGAAGCCAGGGGCCGCTTGTAAGGGATAAGTGAGCTCAAAGTTGAGGCTTGGCTCTCAACTTCTAACCATGTCTCAGACCCAGAAAGGCAGAACACAATACTTCTTGGCAATCTGTAAAGGAAAGGAGGACGCTCTTCTCCCACAGGCCCATGTCGAGGCAATCGCGGTTTGCACATGCCCAACAGATCAGAGCCAACCCGCCCTGACACCATGAGCAGCCCTCGATACACCGGACCGGCAACTGAGACAAGGCATGGGTTGCTCATCCATTCCACAAGCCAAGGCTTCAACTGAAACCCCTCCAAAAATTATAGGGGGGTATGACTTATGACCTACTAAGTTGTACAAGTCAGGGTTTGGGAACCACAGACCGTCAGTAGGCCCGCGACAATGTCCTCGGAGCTGAAGATTGGCTCCAAGTACAGCCAGGTCCTGCCAGCGCATCTGGCTAGTTTTTGTGATGCTGCGGAACTGTTGTCCCTTCTAGCTCTGAAGTGGCGGTATGAGGTGTTAAAGGGTTGTGGTTTCAGCTGATAGGGGATGCTTTCCAATAGTTCTTGAAAGATCAAGGTTGCATGCTGTGCTCTAGGTTTGAAAGAGCTGTGGTTTGGGCTATTTTTGCCACCCGCCTAGCTGATGGTTTGGGCTTCGACTCTCACAGTGGCGCACGTGCGAGTCTCACGCTTGATGTTGGACACATTGGCCCTTGTGGGTTTAGGGCTTAGGGTTTCGGGTTAAGAGTGCCTCGCCAGCGGTAAAACTCAAAGTCCTCACGCCCGAACACAGACACCTTTCGAGCGCTTGAAGCATGCCGAAATTTCCCGAATCTCCAACGCGAATTATCACTTCTGCCTGAAGGCCCCGTGCACTGCACCCAGACGAGCTTGACCCAGGGCTGTGCCACAGGCCTCTGGACCATCAGCCACTGCTCCAGCAAGTCCTTGCTTGCAGAGACAGCTCAGAGGCGAGGTAGTGTTGAGGGTCGTCAGGTTTTTTGCGTGCCCTCCTCGCCACGCAGTGCCTGGGGCTTGGGACCTCCCCCCTCCCCCCCCCGAGATGAAAAACTGCGAACAACTCCAAAAACCTCAAGGCCAGAATGCCGACAGGGAGCCACCAAGTCTATCAATGTGGGTTCCCAAGCTTTGAGTGTTTGGGGTGGGATCCAAGGTTAGGTTGGAGCCCCTCACTCGGACAGGCCCATGCGGTCCTGAATGTAGATGAGTTTTGCCTCCCAGTCCTGACAAGTCGGCCGTTCTGATAGCTTAAGGGAAGACTTCGGATTGCCAAAGTACTTCAGTAGTGGGTCCCTTGCAATGCAAAAGACTCCCAGGTCGGCCAATTGAATGCCTTTGAAAGGGCACCAGGGCACACCGCACGTGCCGCACCCTACAGTACATCCCATGAGCATGACGATAGTTAATTCAGATGTTCGCGGCTTGGGGTAGTTTGTTGTAGCTTGGCTCAGGATTGTATAGAGAGCCTTTCAGAACTCCATGGGGCTGGCCCATTGTCGGGTTGCGCCTTTTAAGGCTTCGACCCTAAGACGACTGAGATAAACGGATGCTGCACAGACTCAAGAAAAACACACACACACACACTCTCTCTCTCTCTCTCTCTCTAGCGACGCTGGGTATGACCGCTTGTGCCGAGTGCCTTGACTTCTTTCTCGATGGGCTTCACGAATGGGGACCCACGGACCGCCTCGACAGAGCTGAGTCTGTGGGGTGTATTGGTTTACAGGCCTTGGGTCACACGACGGGCTGCATAAGCACCACAGAATCTGCGTCCACTCTCTGGCATAGGCCTGGGTTTTGATGATGTGGTCGTCCAGAAGGGCCTGCACATCATCGGCTCCTTGGGATGGCTTTCAATCTGCCATTGAGGATGATCGAGCGGGGACGGTTCTGTTATTGAGTATGTGAGGCCCTCATCTAGAGGACCTGCAGACTCTTTGCGGGAGAGGTAGGAAAGGGAGAGCCACCTCGGGTTTGACAATTAGACCTCTTGTTTTGTTTTTCAGGTCCCCGATGCTGTGAGGCTGTGGGGTCGCTAATTTCCTCTTGATCACAGCCTCGCGGGAGTGGGCGTCCAAGCCTTAAGGTAGTTGAATCCGAGTCGAGGTGTGCCCCCGTTCATCGGTCCTTTGAGAAGGAAGGTGCCGGTGTTCTTGTAGGGCAGAGTGCCGAACCTTGGACTCAGCTCTAAAAAACTCGAAGCAATCAACCAGAGGATAGACACTTGTACCACGAAGCCAAATGGTTTTCTTCGCTTCACGCATTCACGGCAGCAAGAAGGACCATGCAACCTGGCACCTAAAAGCTGCAGCGATGCCGACATCATCGTCCGAGCTGCGCCATGGCCTTCCATTCGTTCTTCATGGTCTGGAGCGCGACCTGCGCAGTTCACAGAGAAACTTCAAAGAGGTCCAGGGCAAACTCTGCAGCAACCAAACACAAATCTTTGACCTGACGCTGAAAGACCCAGGAAAAGCTGTCCCTGAGGTAGGGGCCTCTGGAAGCAAGGAGGAGGTGCTTGCAAAGAAGGAGTGAGCTGAACCCGGCCTTCAGCCCGTGCTGCTTCTGAGCCGACGTGCTGATGGCTTCCACCTCCGACGACGTTCGTCTTGGATCCATGACTGCATTGGAATGCTCTACTTCCATCTATCCATGTGGAAGCGTTCAACGACAATGAAGGTCATCCGGCATTGCTTTCAAGCAGACCGCCTTGTCGATGTGGTTCAGCATGCCTGCCTCAAGGCACCTGCCAAAGCGAGTGCTTCCGGTCCTCTGTATGCCATTGGTGTCCAATTTTAAGGCCCCTTGTGCGACCTGGAACGCACTATCACCCTGATGAAACATGAAGAAGTGGAGAACCAAGTCTGTGAGAACACTGCTTTTGGAAACTATCTGTGCATCACAGGGACATCGTCAATGTCAAGCCATCCTCCATGTCGATGTCAACATCCATGTCCTGCTAGCGGAGCTGCCACTTCACAGGGCATGACATGACAGGATACGACCAGCAACAACAAACAACATCCTGTGCAGGGTTTATGGGCATCTGGGCTCGGAAAAAGGAAAAAACCCAACGGAACCCAAAGCCCTCAGCAAGGCCTGAGGCTGCAGGTTGCTTTACTCACAGTTTCTGTTGGCCTTGCAAGGCCAAAACACGCTCCCTGGCAAAAACTTAAACCGAAGGCCCTCAAGGACTTCGCTCCTCAAAGAGCTGAAGAAGGTGCGACGTCTTGATGGCCGGCTGGCAGAGGCCCTCACAGGGGCTTTGAGTTTGCGATTCTTGCGGATGCAAAAAAAATCGTTTGGTGACGGTTCAGAGTCTCAGAAGGCTAGTGGCCAAAGGCGCTCCTATACCCTGAAATCTGATCAGCCAAGCCTGGATGGACAGCAGGGCCACGGATGAAAATGGATTACTTATCAGACCGAGCCCCAAGCAACCTTGGCGTGCACCTCGTCTGAAGACTGTGTTGATCTGTATACGGGGGGGTTAGGGGGTTTCGGTTTCGTGGGCGCGGGGCTTCGTAGCCCCTGCCGCGGCTGTGCTTCCCTTCCGTGGAAGAATTGCGGGTGCACATGCTGCGCGAAGAGCGCAGCGGATGCGGTTCAAGCTTTCTGCGAAGCCTTCATCCACGAGTGCGCACCCTCCAAAGCCCTAAGCCCTGAAAGAAGCGGTTGAAAACCCAATATGAAACAGCAACGCAGGAACTGTCCTGTCCAACCACGAGTTAGTGGGAACGAGCAATGCCCAAGAAAGCAAACTTAGGCCCGGAATGTCCTTCAACCCTAGACCTGTAAGCTTTCCAGCCCTACACAGACGATCGGCCTGGATGATGGGCATGTTCTTCTTAAACGCCTGCACTGCGGTTCTGAGCTCCTCAAAGCGCAGGGAGTAGTGATCCGTGGGCGGAAATCTCTAAACTTCAACCCCTTACATATAAACGCTATAAGAAGCGAAGCCGGCTTAGGGTTATTTTGGAGGACCGCAGAGTGCTTTGGGCGTTTTCGGTCTTCGGCGTGTTAATGCTCCTAAGGTGCTAAGGTCTAGACGGGCTTTCAGTGACGCGTCCGGCTCCGCAGGGCAGTCTTTGGGGCCAGGGCTGGGCTGGGTCTGAAGGGAAACTTCAGGATTCAGGCTTCGGAGTTCAGGATAATGATGGGTGATGTTCGTGTTTGAAACCAGGGTCGGCGGCAACAGATATCTTGAAAAGTATGCAAGGTTGTAACAAGGTCGATGACTGTATGGGTATGTGACATTGTGTGTGGTGAACACTACCCTCCTCGATGACATTTGGGGCTGCCGGCGGTCATGAGCACCTGTGGCCGACCTAGAGAACCTCTGGGAGCCTGCACCCGGGCCCTAAAACTTACAACTTCTCACTTGTGAGCTTTGCACGAAATTCTCACAAAGTCTATCATGACATGCGTGTGCGAGATCTTCTGCTTTCTCCGAACAAAGCCCTACACCCTCAGCCCTCAAAGGGGCGGGCTCGTAGAGAACCCTGCAGAACTAGTGCTTCTCTGCTTGAAGTCTAATTATTGTTTATGACTTGCCCATTGTAAGAAGATCTCCCATCTTTTCGGCGAAGAACTGTGAACGGACCGGGAGATCAATAAGGCCTCAATAAGGCCCGGCCCAGTCTCAGAAGCCTTTTCTCACCCCAACGTGAATTTGTTTAAAACCCTGAAGTGGTGGGAGAGTTGGCCAAAACGGAGTCCTGGGCCACTTTCTGCGGGTTCGGCGACCCCTCAAAGGACTTGTAGGCCTTGTAGGAGTCCTCCCAGTGGCTGCCAGCATCTGCCCGTACATTTAGAATACTTGGGGGTTGGGGTTTAGGGTGGGATGTCAATTCTTTCACAACACTATCCTACTCGAGCCGCGTTGAAACGCATTCATGAAAGCCAGGCTTACTCAAGAAACAGCCCTGACAAACACAGCATCGCGTCTCGAACATGACATCACACTGCCCGCAATGTGAACGTGCAGCTGGGATCAATATGCTCTGGTCCGTGGAAATTTGAAGATCCCAAGGCCGCGACAGGCTGCAAAGCCACATCAAGCCAAAACAATGCTGCACGGCACTGACAGCTCTCATGCGGAGCACATGCAAATATGCAAAAGCACAAGCCTTAACGAGTTGCACGCCCCACCCGCGTGCAAAAACGTCTGCAGAGCAGGAAGAGAGGAGGCGGGGATGGGGTAGGACGAAGTGATGAGGTTGCATGTATGTCATTAAAGCTCCAAAATCTTTGAAAGCAAAAAAAGAGGCACGTCTGCAAGTCTGAATGCCTCAGCCGCCTAGGCCCAACGGGGTGGGGCGGGGGGGGGGGGAGCACTGCAAACACAGGCTTCGACCACACCGCAAGTCTGGCACTCCCAACACGAAGGTGTCCTTGAAGTTGTCATCCACAGTCTGCTCCACTTCGTTGGCGGTCAAGTTCGCAAGCTTGCCACTTAGCCATTCCTCCTCGCACCTCGCACGTGCTATCGGCAAGCTTTATGCAGCATTTGCCGAGGAAAACGAGTCTCTTTGAGGGCGCTCTGGACTTTGACTGAAGACGGGGGCAGAACCGAGGCCACGGCAAGGTAACTCGTGGCAGCTTCTAGATATATAGAAGGGCATACGATGCATGTCATGCATATTCCTGTGCATTTACCGGGCAGTGAATCTCACCGGCCCCGATCCGATGATCACTTTCTCAAGCAAAAAAGGTTTCCGAGAATCAACCAGGTGTGGGTCCAGAGCTAGCCTGTCAGCGCTCCATACTCCCCCTGATTGTGCCGCAATCGCAATGAGACACCTGCAGAATCGAAAGCCTCACCTTCCGGGCGCCCGAAAAGTCGAAACCCAACGGCCCCACTCCCCCCGCCAAAGCAGAGCCATCAACACCCTGTATTATCCCTCTTCAATCAGACCCACGCAGCAGAACTGAATTCTGAGTTCGGGATGTGTTAAGGAGGGTTGAGGTTCAAGGGAGAGAAACCATCCGCGGGCTCCCACCCATTGTACTCGATGGCCATCGACCAAAGATCGAAGTAGGGCTTGAATTCATCCTGGAGAACCTTCCCAGAATTTTTGGGTAGGGGCCTACTAGCCCCAGACACGTATCCTGGAAATCCTACACCTAAAACGGAGCGTGCTATGGGTTCTTACTATCGTGGCGCTTTGGCTTGCTGTGGTTTCTCTCGCTGGTGATGCGTTGAGTCAACTCTGGACCGAGGTTCCGAGCACTCCGAATTAGTCCCAAGAGCATCAACCCCTAAACTGCTGTGCAAATCCTAGATTGGGCCGCTTCATTAGCAAGCACGCGCATGTAGTTCAAGCATTGGTCGGGCATTCTGCAGAGAGTTTACAGTTTACAGTGAACAAACTACGCTACTCGCGCAAGGCGACCCAAGACACCTTAGCCAACGGCACCATGCACGCCCCAACCCTTTCCTACTAGGATCTCAAACCGAAACCTCTGATTCTGAGACGTTAAAACCCCGCCTCAAGATCGGAGTAATCCCTCTGATCGATCTGGAAGAGCTTCTCCCGGTCGGAAAAGGACTTGACCTTGCGTCAATGGAGTGCAATCTGTCTTTCAATGCTTGCTGGGCCTGGGCTTCGGGTGTTAGTATAGGGGTGGGAGGGGGGGGTGTGCTCCGCCACTAGATGGTGCTCATTCTGGCTTTCACATCATAAGCTTCTGAGCCGAGCTCCCAACTAATCCGTAGGGTTTACAAGTGTGCCCACGACAGACGCGCAAATGTTCTGAGAATCAACATCTTCGCCTGCAAACTATGGACCTAGGACCCCAATCAAGGAACAGCAGGTGAAACGAAGCGTGCCGCTGTGAAGACCAGGACATGGAGATTGTTGAAAACATAGAGTTACTGCGAGAATGCCAGCGAAACACCCCCATGTCCATCTCACGAAGACCGGTGCAGCCCGAATGGTATGCCATACACGACACGACTCCGCACCCTAAAGCCCTGCTTCTTCCGGGCACACGTCTTAGTAATCTTGGCAAAGCCCCAAAGACTCCGGCCCGTTCTGTAGCTCTCACGAGATTGTCCTCGCAGCGATGGTCAAAGAGTTGTGCGAAACATACTTTCGCATCGAAGCACCGTTGCATGCACACTGCCTCAGCTTGCATGGTGACGTCGATAGGCTTGGGCCCCACAGAAATTCTTCGAACAATATCAGGAGAAGGCTATTGCAAGTCGACCTGCGTAAGCAACTTTCATCAAGGCGGATCAACTGGTTCACAAAGTTTTCCTCTCAACCGAACTCATGGGGTCCGGCTTCCACTGCCATATCACTGCGACTGGTGTGCAAGCCCTGCAAAGACCAGGCCCGAAACCCTTTGCAACAGGCCTCTGAGCCACCAAATGCCCCAAAGCCCCAAAAGCGGTCTCCTGAAGCGTCTGGATCTTTTGCGCGACTTGTCCGGCCACGGCATAGGAGTCGAGACTTTTTACCCACTCCAGTTCCTTCGCAAACTGCATTGGGGAGAAGGGTTCCGCTTCATCCCACCATCTTGAAGCTATCAACTGGATTTTCTGAACCAACACCCACACTCCAAAAACCAACGGCTTTGGAATGTAAATTTCCAGGACTTCTGCTACTGAAGCATGGGCAAAAGGCCTCCTCCAACAACTTCGACCACTATTTCCGATGCCCCCAAATGAACCCTGCATTATGTTCCAAGACTTCTGCATGAAGCGAGCTTGATCGCATTGAGCAATAGAGAAACAGAAGCCTTTCCTGCGAAGGAGACCAGATGGGAGTCTTACTCTGCTCTGGGGCTCCCACGCTTGAGTACTTCTGGAAGTCCTTCTGATACTCTTCCACCTCGCGCTGGAGCTGTTCCTTGGCAGCGACCAAAGGGATAACGACATCAAGCCGGAAGAATGCCAGCGCCTGCCTTAATGATCGAAATCAGATGGGGCCACCCTTTCCACGCTTTCCCCAGGTAGGGCCGTTCCAGGCTGCAGGATGTGTTGCTCGGATGTACGATATAGACGGCTACCGAAACCGTTTGTGTAGGAGGCACCAAGTAGCACGTTACTGGAGCTTTGTTTCGCTCATAATTGTATGCAGGACTTAGATCGCCTATGGGTGTGTTTTGAGTTCCTTGCCCGGGAATCATGTGGAAGCCAATCCATGGTTCTCCGGCCCCCCCCCCCCCCCCCCGCCTCGCACTCAAAGGCCTCGACTCTCAAGGCGGGGCAAGGCTTTCGAAAGCCCCAGGCCAACACCTAAACCCTGGACACCGAATCCTCGATCAGAAAAGTCAAGACGACAGCCAAGTCCGGCGCCATGAACGCAATCTTGTCCGTGTTCAGCTGCCGGTCGGCCCTTGAATTAGGCTTTCGCTGGGGTTGGATTGCAACATGGCTACCCCACGTGCCGCACCAATTGACGGCCGAGACAAGGACTCCATCACATCCATGTTGATCTGAAGAGGCCACTCGAACCTGGGGAGTTAAACGGGATCTCGGTTTGAGAGTGTAGGAGTGTTGAAAGGATCCCTTTGAACAGGTTTCGACTCTCACTGCATAAGCATACGGACGCAGGAGAAAGGCGAACAAGACGTTCTCATCGGGAGGTGTCCGGGGTGAAAGCACAATTATTCCAGGAAAGATTAGGGCCCCAGGGCCTCCGAACCCTCTTCTCTTGAATGGCTGCTTTCGTGGGGGGCGTTTGCGCGAAAGTGCCCGAGCTGAGCAGAGGCCGTGGCGAGCGGAAGGCCTTTTCCACTACTTCGCCACCCACCTGCAGGCGAGCGCTTGTGAAGAGAGGTGGGCTGATGCTTGAAAAGATGAGGGCTTGCCATCCAAAAACCAGGCAGCGATGCAGAAAGCACGTGGGGACTCTAATCTGGGAGCAGATGCCAAGCATGCAGGTCGAGTAGGGAGCCGGCATCATGGCCAAAGTCCTCGACCATGTTCATTTGCTGATGGACTTCTCGGGTACGCTCCTGAAGTACTGGGTCTCGGGACATCTCGGGTTGTTGAACGAGAGTTTCTTGACAGTGAACTTCAGTACCAGGATATGACCTCCCCTCAGTTCACCCCGTCAGCGTACTCCCCAAGAATACGATATCGAAAACAATGCTCAGACTTGTGATCCGATCCCGAAAACCCAGATTAATACTGCCCAAGTTTTGGGCGAGCTCCTTCCATCCTATTCGCGGCCTGGATTGAGGATTTTAGTTCCAGGTTCTCAGCTCCAGTACCTTCAGGCATCCTGGGTGTATTTGCCTTGTATGCTTTTACTTTTTGCTGCTACATGCTTTTTGTTCATTTTGAGGCCGCTCCTGGGGGTGGAGGAACGGGGGACAACTGATATCATGACGGCTAGGTTTGGCCAGCTCCCCGGTTAGCAGCATGCCGGACGGATGGGGCCCAAGCCATCAAGGGCTTCACCACCTTCTTCTGAACCACTTCCATGAACTCGCGAAGCTCTGCCTGGCGTCGTTCGAACGCTGATTGGTTGGGGCTTCGGGGCGATTCGCTGACAGTGGCCTAGGACTTGCAGGACCCGAACCGCTAGTGTTCGTTGAGACAGGCATTCAGCAGCCCACCTTTAAACATCGTTAGATTTCGCAAAGCCCCACGCTGCAGCTGCTCGGATCCTATCACGGTTTCTGCATGGAGCAGCTCTGAAACATGCACCGTCGAACAAGCATGCTCATGCGATGAGGCAGCAAACAAATTCAAGTGGGCCGTGTAAGCCAACTCGCTTTGTGTCAGAATCCATATCCCCAACACCCCATGGACCCTAGACCACGGAACTGCGGACCATTGCCGCATGTGCTGCATTCTTCCCCGCTCCCATCAGCGGGGCCACACATGCCGAATCCATTTTTCAAAACGTGCAAAAGGACCCTCCTATCGCCCCATGTAGCAAGATTTTCAGCAGGAAAGCGGTGCCAGTCGGGCCATGTCTTTCTCTGAGTCGGGGCTGGCGAGGATACGCTTGTGCGTGGAGTCCTCCAGGCGCTTTTAGCTGCGTAGGAAGCATCTCGGCTCTTTTCACAGCAGCTGGCGGTAGAATTGCAGCAAGCTTTGAAGACCTGTCCAAGCTGAGCCGAGCACCCACTCTTCCAGGATGGCATCTGCCCTCTCTTCGATGTTCGCGTTGCACTGTCCTGGCCCGAATCTGGACTTGTAGGGCAAGTGGTGTAGGGATTGGTGTTTAGGGCTTAGGATTGGGCATATAGGCCATGAGGATAGTTGCTGTTAGCAGGCGCTTCCGCAGAGACATGATGCGCTGATTCACGAAAGGGTGCTGAATATCGTGGAAAAGATTCAATACAAACATTCCTTCGGCCCTGGGATCACACACACCTAGCCTACCTAGCCTAGCAATACTGCCACTTGCGACTGAGGCATCGACGGAGGCACTCCTGCGCCAATGCTTCAGCCTGCTAAATTCAGCACGACGTGTGACGAGGCGACGTTGGGAGTAACGGATTCTGCATGTCAAATTTAAGGCATTGGGACGCCTGAACCAAACATTTTGCACAGCGATCTAAGTGGCAAGAGGGGGTGCTGGCTTAAACCAGGGGCCTTCTCAGCCAAAGTCGTGATCATGTGTGCACATCGCAGCCGGAAGAGCGGGAAGTCCTGCAAACCAAAGAGTGCGACTACACACGACCCACACAGTAGCAATAGATTCCCAAAAAAGCTGAAGTTGCATTGAATCGGGTATACGGCTCTTCCAACTCTTCTTTTCTTTTTTTTTGTTTTTTTTTGGGGGGGACCATTCCGCATCGGGAAGACGATCTTCCCAACGAAGGTGGCATGGCTGGAAAGCATGGGCACTTCACGACTTGACCCATGCTGGCAGCTGCAGATGCTGCACAAAATGCGGGTCCATAAAGCTCTCCGAAAGGACTTGCACTTCGTACTTGGCATTTCGGTAGCTCTGTATGCCTCAGTCTTTTCAAAGACATGTTCTATAGAAGGTGTCGCACTTGACCAGGATTTTGGGGCTTCACTGCAGGGCTGGGGAAGGTCAACTGGCCCCTCCTAGATAAATCCTGCAAACCCTCAACAACTTGGCTTTGGTTTGCAAAGCTTGGGGTGGCTGACGGCTTGTGGATTCATGGCCTCGGTTTAGTGAGCCACTATGAACAGGGCGACAAGTCCAGAAGGGCCCTGATGACCTCGGCTAAGTTCCCGCGCGCTCGCGGCAGGCAGCGATGTCAGTCGGATCGAAATCTGCAGCAAGGGTCGTTGGGTGATGTGCTTATGTTGGAGCGTTTGGGAATTCAACTCTTTCCGACCAGTCTTGGGACATGGCACGGCAAACAGTGCTCACAGCACGAAGAGTCTCCAGAGCCAGTTCTTCTTTGGAACCAAAGACCTGCAACCAAAAGCAATCGCCCTTCCCGGACCTTCCACCTTCTCAGAGAGGAGGTACGAGTACTTGCGGAACCTGACTCTGCTAGCTCACAGTCCAAAACAAGCTCTGAATCTGCAACCGAGGGGCATCATCTTCACCCCAAACCCCATGCATGTATGGACACTATACAACCTAGAGCGGGTTCGGATAAGATGAGAAGCAAACACCCTAAACTCGAATGCAGAACACTGCGACCACGCGAGGCGGCCACCTCTCCAAGATCTCCAGTGGTTGCGCGCTGCAAACGTCCACAGTCTGCAGGATGCCAGGGTTCAGGGAGCAACCTCCTCCTCCTGATAGTCCTGATACTTCCCCCCCTGACTTACTTGCAAGCCCCCGAAGGCGCTATTGATGATGTCCACCATGCCTTCCTATCTTCCGACCCATTGGATTTCATTGGTGTTGCAGGTCATCCAGGCCTTGCTTGGCAAGTAAAGACGTCGGACGCGCAGACTCTATCAAGCTTGAAAATATTAGATTCGAGGTCAGGATTGGAGGGTGGCGGGCATGTACTGGAGCCTCTTTACAGTCAGTCTTTGAAGTCAGTCATGTAGAGGGGGGGGGGGGGGGGGGGGGGGGGGGGTGCGGGGGCGGGTGGCGGGGTGGGGGGGGGTGGGGGGGGGGGGTGGGGGGTGGGGGGGTGGAGGGGTGGGGGGGCTGGGAGGAGGGGGGTGGGGGGGGGAGCGGAGGGGGGGGCGGGCATGCACTGGAGATCATGGGAGGGGGGGGCGGGGTGGGTGGTTGGAGGCGGGTGAGGGGTGGGGTGAGGGAGGGGGGGCGGGCATGCACTGGAGATCATGGGGAGGGGGGGGGCGGGTGGGTGGTGGGAGGCGGGTGAGGGGTGGGGTTGGGGTGGGGCGGGGTGGGGGTGGGAAGGGGGGTGGGGGGAGCGGAGCGGGCGGAGCAAGCGGAGGGGGTGGGCATGCTTTAAAGTCAGTCTTTAAAGTCAGTCATCTAGAGGGGGGGGGGGGTGGGTGGGGGGTGGGGTGCGGGGGCGGGTGGCGGGGTGGGGGGGGGGGTGGGGGGGGGGGTGGGGTAGACTAGACCCTTTCAAGTCAATCTAAAAGTCATGGGGGTGGCGGGGGGGGGTGGGGGGAGGCCTTTGAAGTCAGTCTTTAAAGTCAGTCATCTAGGGGGGGGGGGTGGGTGGGGGGGGGGGGGTGCGGGGGCGGGTGGCGGGGTGGGGGGGAGACTCGACGCGCCTCATGCGTCGCCCGCACTGCTTTCTCCAGCCTGGGTCTCATTTCGAGAAGGTTGGGAGAAGCGTCCACGGAAGCTGCCCATACTTAACAACAAGCTGGCACAGAGCATGAAGAGCAACGAAGAGTGTCAAGAGCACTTGATCTAGACTTCCATGCATAGCTTTTCCCCTGCACGGGAAGCAGCAGGGAAAGCCGGTACAGAATGCATATGAGTCACATCTTGCTCTTTCACCCACCTCCCCTCCCCCCCCCGGGCCTGGAAAGAGATCGAGGCGTCTATTACAACCCGAAACTCGCAAAATCCCCAAGCCATGAAGCCCCGTTGCGTGGTCCAGGCATTGCTCCCTTGGCGGAGCCCATCCCCTTTGCATCCCAAACTATCCCTTCAACCCTGGCTTTTCCCAACAATCCCACGCACCACTCGTGAAGCTTCCTAGGCCTACAGGTGAACGGAGGTGGCCCCTGCCTTTAGCAGGGCCTGTCCGCCAGAAAAAGGAAACCTTGCCGGCAAGATCCCTCTATTCTACTTGGGGGTTGATCGACATGTGCCCTTTTTCTTAAGATTTGGGATGTACACGGTGACCTAGCAAAGGCGAGCAACTTCGATCAACCGCCGCGAGGTGATTCAGACAAAGGCATGGGTTCACAGGGTGTGGGTTTTGGAACCCATATAGAGTCTACTTCCTGTGGGTTTCAACTCGACATGGTCTGGCTGGAATGCACACATCTTCGTCTTGAAGACATAGGCACACAGCTTTCCGCTCCGGATCCTCTACCTACTACCTCCCGCCGCCGCCAAACCAGCTCTTTCTGGCTCTGCTGGGCTTCTTCGCAACGACCTGGCCACCAAGTAGGGCGACAACAAAGCTTACAAGTTCAAAGCTGCTTTGAGTTGTTGAATGCTTGGGTTTGCAGGGTACAATCTAAGCCACAGGGTCCTAAGTCCTAAGCATGAGATGCGATTTTTGGGAATCCGAGTCGGAGGAAGCTGACGTGCTGCATAGGCACTTGCCACTCTGAGTCAGCGTGGGTGTGGCTAAAGCTTCCCAAAATGCGTGGGCATGTTGTAACACTTCGCTGACCCTACAAGACCCGACTGCCAAACTTGAGCAGCACAAGACATGCACTATGCACGTTGTTGAGGACGCGCGCTGCAAACCGAAAGCATGCAAGCTTTCTCCCATGCGGTTCCCAGGACGCCAAGCCAAGCTCTCGCTTGGAGGATTTGAACCCGATCATCCCCCCCCCCCCCACTTGCCCAGCGTTCCGGGAGGCGGCCGGGTCAAGACTGGAAACTATAGATAATATACAGTTGAAACGGACAGTATTCAGCACAACACAAAATACTACCAAACAACTTACGTGCGTCGACTCATGCCGCATGCCATGATGCCCTCTCCTCCGCCGGAGGCTCCTCGCTCGAAATAGCACGTTGCTCAGCCGGCTCAGCATCGAAGCGGGTCTGCCTGAGCTGTGGTACACACCATACGGGTGGTACAGCGTCTGCACGCAAGTCCTGTTGCGTGTCTTGTTTTGCTACCACATGTTGGCACCGCTTGATCCTGGCCAGACGGAGCAAAGCCTGACAGGCGGAGATTCTGAACGAGCTTTTGCCTTATGACTGCACTTGGCTGCCCAGAGGCAGAAGTTATTAGAGACGTCTTGCACGCGTGGCCGAACCAGCTTCAACTTGTAGTAGTTTATGGTACCTGAAACAAAGCCCGCCAACCCCCCCAAAACGCTCCACACTTCAGAAGCAATCCTACATCCCAGCCTCCTTTACCACCTTCCTTTGAAGCTGTTCGGGCAGTGGGGTTTAGGCTAGGGTTTTCTGTTGGGTTACTGAATTTGGACTGGCAGCTTCCCAGTCTTCGTACCGTCACCGTGGTCAGTCACGGAAGGACTGAGCAGGAGAACTTGCGGGGGCTGATCGAAAGTATGGAGTGGCCTTTAATCGCAGTGTCAGGAGCCCATAACTTAGAACCCCAAGGCCATGCACTCGCCCAGGGCAAGGTTGAGCTCTGAAACATTGTGCTTCTGCCTTCCATGCTCCGTATGTTGCCAGTGGGCGGCACACATGTAACTGAGCTAGGGGGGGGGGGGGCATGATCTCCTGTCCACTCCCTGATTGCGCATCTTACTGACAGGCGTCTCTTCCGCATGGACAGCCGGGACGGGCTCCTCAGGAATGCGGAGGAGTCCGGCCAAAGTCCATTTGGGGGCTGCCGGCACCCGAACAAAGTTAGTTAGTTAGTTCGGCCAAAGCTTCAGCTTGGGTATACGGTACAGGGGCTATCGGGTATGGGGGCCAACGTTTAGAAAGACTGATTCTCGCCACTTTTCGTGGCACACCATGGGCTTATGCGGATCTTCTTGATGGAACGCGGCGTGCACAACGTAATGGTTCAGATGTCAAGCTATCTTAACCCCCTGAGCGTAGACCCTCCATCGTACTGGGCCCCGCAAAGCCTTAAACTCCTGTGCCCGAACCTTGCAAGGAAGCCCCCACCACACACACACACACACACACACACACACACACACACACACACACACACACACACACACCCCCACACACACACACACACACACACACACACACACACACACACACACACACACACACACACACACACACACACACACACACACACACACACACACACACACACACACACACACACACACACACACACACACACACACACACCGCCGCCTAATTCACCTGCTAACGACGAAGTCCTGGAGTCCTGGGTTCCCTAACACCCCTGTCGAAACTAAGGTGCGGAGGAGGTTGGGAGGGAGGGATGCGCTCGAGACGTGTGATGTAAGAGGCGACAAAGGCAGAAGAGTGATGAATGCGCGCGGCCGTGCAGCAATCCTCCTTCCTAACATGGATTGATGAAGCTGTGATGCAAGTGTCTGGCATTTTGCACGAGGACAACGGCAGCAAGGGCAGCCCAACTTAACGTGATTCTCTGCCATTGTGTATACCCCTCTGATATGCGTGGCATCGAAGATTGCAGATGTGCCACTAAACCCTGAGGCACCTCCGCACTTGGGTGGGTGATCTCGGAATCCTAGGCGACACAGGGAGATCTGGTGCGGCTTGCCGGGCTTGCCGCTTCGGTTGGACATCAAGATTCGATCCAAGGATTTATAGGGCTTTCGAGGGCGCGACCTCCGACCCCATAGGGAGGTCGAAGTGTCATCACAGATTTTGGACGGTAGGGTGTTGCGTAGTATTGGAGGAACGGACGATTGATTCCATTATGGAAGCAGGAAGGCGTATCAGAGAAATTGTCGAATTTACTTTGTAGGTTTGGTTGGGAGTGCACCAAAGTGTTCGAAAGGCTCGGCCGTAGTTACACACACACACAGACACACTGCTGAGCACATACACTTCTTGTTGGAGTTGGTTGATGGAACCAAAAAAACGGAAATCCTTGAACAACCTATTCAAGCCCAGAACAGCAACGTAACAGCAGCAGTTGGTACGGACTTTTCATCTGCGACATGTCTAGGTCCGCTTGGCCAGGACTTGTGGCGGGTACCGAGCGTGAAGGTAGATGCTCACAGCCACCTGGGATTTGCTTTCACGTTGACTCCCATGTTCACTGCTGCCATTCTCGTCTATATAAATAAATAAATAAATATGTATGTATGTATATGAGTGCTGCAGAATCTAGGCTACAACCTGTCCAGTCCTTGTCCGTAGCCAGGACTGAATCGACATTGAGTTTGGCAGTATCTCTGGATGAAGGCCTCATACCGTAAGCCTGCAGAGCCTACAACGTTTATCAAGTTCCATCTACCAAGATTGTCTGGAAACCGTCGGAACCCCAAAAACCCCAACCCTGAACCTCGAAACCCCGTGAACAGACCCATTGAACAACACTGGACTACCCTAATCCAAAAATCCCCAAGGGCCCCAAACCCAAAAACCCAAAAAGGCCAAAAACCCTAAAAAACCTGAAGCCCTGAAACCCTGAAACCCTAACACCCTAAACCCATACCCAACCCCTGGTCAAACTGTTCAACCCCTTTAGTAGCTCCTGTGAGCTAAACATGCCCGAAGCCACCAGTGGCACGGCGACCACTGCAGACCAACTCAGCGCTTCGCCCTCCACGAGCCACTTCAAGAGGCCTCCGGCATTTTTTTTCAGGGGGGTTAGGGTTTATAGGGTTTGCAGGGAATTGAACGGTAAAAACCGCGCGTTGTCCTGACTGTAATTTTTGCAGTGGAGCTCAAAATCAATGTCGGTACTCTGCAGTTGATGCAGCCCTTCTGCGCGTTGAAGGGTTTAAGAATAGTGGGGCGTAAGGTCGGATAGACTCAAATGGTCAAGGGACAGGAAAGGAGGAGCCCGACCATCACGGCGAAGCCCTTTCGGACGCTTCCGGACGTCTTCGCAATGAGGCCCACCACTATGCCGCCCCAGCCCTGTCGTTGGGCCGAGGACTCTTCAGGAACAAGAGTTGGCTCTTAGCTTTCTTTTGCTTGTGAGGGGTTTAGGGGGTGGAGCTGAGAGTATCACAGACTTTGACTCTTTCGTTTGCCCGTTGGCATCTTGGTCTTCTGGATCCTGCGTCAAGACCGGGATGAGGGTCAGCCAAGTCCAGCGGTCGAAGAGACCCTGCTCCTCCTGATTGCCTTGCTTAGGGCACTATCTACGGCGTTTAAGTTTAATTGGACACAAGCCACTTGCAAACAGAAGTGCAAGAAGAACTACAGACATCGGCGAAGGGGCTCAGCAAACGACTCAACAGGATTGCGAGGCAGCCCAGCACGGCCATCTCGCAGCTGAAGAGGTAGCTATTTCGCTGTTCCCGCTGCAGTACCCACTCAGAAACAGCGCCGCCGAAGCCAGACAGGGCAGATGCAGACACGATGCAGAAGATACCCATCCAGAAGCTTTCTGCTGACGCGCTCTGGGGCTGAGAGGCACGGGCCTCCGATAGGCTCACTAGCACGCCTGAGAAAGACAGCAGCACCAGAGCGCAGCACTGCACAGGAGACTGCCGCCGCCC